AAGCGACTCAATTCTTTTCGAAACATGGTTTTTCAACCAGCGGTGAGAGACAAATGGCCATAAGATTCAATGTCCAAGATCAATTGCCATGGGGAAATTACTCTTCGACCGAGGATTAAAGCAGCGTCCCCTGGATTACTAATTAATCCGATTGTCTTCAAATTGAGCTATGCGGATGGAAATATAAAATATACATGAATACGAAGAATGAATTTTCCAGTATGATAAATCAAAACGAGCAACATCTTGCAGATACCTTTGAAGTATGTTTGATACGTGGTATTTATCGTACAGATGTGATATAACGTGTCAGGAGTTTTGTAAAGATTATTGTATGTATGGAAAGTGAAAATTCTTGTCTGTTCTTTTTGTTATACATATATGAAACATGTCATTTATCAGTCAGATTTGTCCCCAAATACTGACAAAATGAAAATCTAAGTCTTACAAACTCTGTTCAGTGAAAGCTCTTTGTAATATTAGGTAACATTTGGAATTGAGAAATTTTTCCTTAAATGTTAATTTTGTAGATACACATTTCAGCCATTTATATGAAAGGAAACACAAATCAGCATATGTAATCGCAGCTTTCATAAGCTTTTATCTTCATTATGTTTCAAGAAACAAAGGGACAGTAAAACAAAAGTTTGTAAAGAATGAAAGTTATCATGATATAACCATTTTACTAACATACGAGTTAAATCAAGCCGAAACAAACGAATTTTCATAATCACATTTATTTTATACTTTAAAGTGTGGGATTTGCGTTTAACGGAGTTTTACATTTTGTAGTGTCTGATTTTTCACAGTAAAAATGCAACAGTGCGAAAACACGAAATAAAAAAGCGAAACTATATTATGGCGAATAGCACATGACGGATTTTTTCGACTTAATGCTGCCGTTATAACTTTTCTGTTATAACTATACTTACAGACATTCGCATATGTAATATGTCTGTTTGTTTGTTTGGTTGGTGTGTTGGTGTGTTGGTTGGTTGGTTGGTTGGTTGGTTGGTTACCTGCCCTTCTGGTTGTCTTGTTGACTTCTTGGTTGGTTTGTTTTTAAGCCAATTTTACATATTTTGTCATATATCAAGGTTTGATCAACCTAACATGCTTTCCCGGATAACTTACCAGAAAATGTCATTTTAAACTATTGAGACTAATCAAATATAATTTCCTAGTCATCGATGAGACCATAAGACTCAATGTCCAGGATCAATTGCCATGGAGAAATTCCACCTCTTCCAAGGATCAAACTAGCCACCCTAACATTACTAATTAATCAAATTATATCCCTATTGAACAACGTGGGTGAGTATCTAAAATAAGCATGTTAGCAACAAATGAATTTCTATTGTGATATATCAGAACGTGAAACATCTTGCAGATACCTTTCAAATGTGTTTGATTCGTGATATTTATCGTACATATTTGATATACCTTACTGCTGTATAAATAAAAGTGCTTTGGAAGCTGAAACAGCTTGTTGGTACTCTTTGTGCATGTATGAAACATGTTATCAATCAGATTTGTCCCCAGAAACTGACAAGATAAAAATCCCAGGCTGGCAAATTCTGTTCTGTGAATATTCTTTGTAATGTAAGGTAACATTTGGTGTTACAATACTCATTTGACTTTAATGATTGTAGATATCATTATTTTCTTTTCTGTCTATTTGTTATCCCTTAGCAATTATTGAGATAATATATTTAATGTGTTATAGCGCTACCCAAATAGAATGTTCAAAACACATGATGTCGAATTACTGAATTTATTCTTACATGTACTTTACAATCTATATTAATGACATTTTTATTGGCAATAAACAGGTTTCTTGGCAAAGGAAGAAAATTATTTCAGAAACGAAAATGGGTTGTTTTTTCTAGGAAGCGGGAATTTTCAATTGTATTTGTCAGATGATCGTTCGATTAATCCGGAAATGTTTGCAATAACTGTTAGATGTCTCCATTTTTTATAAAGTGCACAAGTAACATTGATTTATAATCCGTGTAAAGTGTATTAAACCATATGTAAAGAAAATATTTTATAAAAATTAGAAACAATACTACTTGGATGTTTTAATAAGCATATGGCCGTTTCTTCGAAGATTTTTAACATCAATATTAATGATTTTATTGTACATGAAAATTGTACGAAATCGGAATAAAATGGTCTTGAACAAAATACTTAGCTGTCAATTTTATTAGGTTTGACGACGATTTCGTGGTTGCCCTACTAATTTTCAATAAAATGTACTGATCAATTTCATTCGTTCTAGGCATTCTATAATTATTTTTTATCACAAAATAAACAATATTTGTATTCATTTTTCTTATTCATTTTCTTATATATTTCTTATTTTCTTTTTTTTTGTTCATTTTATATAAAGTCTTTCATCTTTTCTTAAACACCTTCAATTTACAGTTGATTATTTTCCAAGGGTATTTTTTGAAATATTATTGAACTTTCAAATAAAATAAATAACTTAGTCATCAATTTGCTAATTTGTTTCGAATAAAATTTTGACAAAAACAAACATTGAAAAGAGGTATAACATATTCTAAAACTTTAGAAATTATCTTCTTTATTCTGTACACTCAATAATTTATTAGTCAACATTCTGCTTTTGTAGAGTATATGCAAAAATGATTGGGTTTTTTATTTGTTTTTTTTTCTATTAACGAAGCATGTTATAAAAACTAAAAGTCATCCAAACCAATTATTATTAAGTTATATAAAATTAATGTCATCCTGACCTAATCTTCATTTTAAAAATAATGTCTACAAAAGCGTATGATGCTGTTGTTGTTGTTGTTAGAGAAGGAGGTTAAATCTAAGGAAGGTCAGACATCATACTTGTGTAATTGAAGAAATCGTTGTATTCTTCTTCGGGAACAACTTATTTTCGGGAATAAAAGTGCATTTTTGAAGTAAAGAAAAACTTTTTTTAAAAAACTCTATTTACATGTTAAAGGAATTCTTGTAATTTCTTTTCAGAACAAATATGTTTGCACCATACTTTTCTAAAACCGAGTGTATTTATCGATGCAGTTGCGAGTTAATATGTAGTATTTTGGAAAAAAAAGAACTAGTTTAAGCTTTTGCTTAGTTGCATAGCCAATGGTTTTACCGGCAGTCACGGCCGAATACACATAGCCTTTAGCCAAAAATATTTTGTTAAAATTATATGGTATAAACTTTGTCAAGACGGCAGTTCGTAATCCTCCAATGATAGTTGAGATGTTTAAACAACTTAAACGTTTCATTATCATTTACCAAATCGAGTTACAAAAAGTTAAAAGATTGTTTACTGCACAAAAACTTTAAGAATTTTCTTGATCTTATTTTATTGTTCATCCTCTATTCTTTTTTGTTAGAAATACGTGTAGATAATGAATCTTAATTGTTGATGAAGAGTATCACTTTTTACCTTTAATTTTCTCTAACAATGAAGAATAAAACACTTTAATGAATTTCATTTTCTTTAGATAAAGAAATGACAATTTGTTTTCTGCATGTACGAGCTGCACTAGACAAAAGGACAATTATTTTAGATATAGGAGGGCTGTTCAAAAAGTAATATTACTAAGAGTCTTCTTTCTCATACTCGTTCAATTTAGAATATTTTCATCAATGATAACTGAAAACAATACGAAAAAGGGGAAGATAGGTCGGTCATCGAGCAAACATTTTGCAGATTGGAACAAGAATGTGATGGCTTTCTTTTGGCATCATCTTCACGTACGAGGTCTGGTCATAGTAACATGATTCAGACACCTAGAGCTTTAGGCAGAATAATTTCAGAAGGAATGACGCTTTAACATTTTGTTGTTGATTTATTTTTATTATTTTAACATAAGTTGTACGGATCGCGTTCCCGTTGTCATTTGTAATTTTCACAGACTCGTTATTTGTAAAGATATTTTATTGATTTTTATTGATTTTTCCACTGTATTTAGTGGATAGGTTCCGATAATTTATATTGTAAAATTGTGCATGTAAATCACAAAATGTGAACAGTAGAACTGCAGTCCTTTCTACTTTTTTGACAACTATCGTATGAAGTCATTCATTTGTGACAGTTTAGAATTCATTTTGATTTCATGACTATTTCAAAGCTTAGAATTATTATTTTAATGCCAAAGCGTCAGTGGAAGGACCTCGAGACTAACGAACTCTCCTTAGCATTTACTTGATAAGTACATTATACAAAACCGCATTATACAAGACGGTCAAAACTGTGATTATTTTTACATCAGCAAGTTTGTCTTTTAGTATTAGTTTTAGTATTAGTATTAGATAATTATTTTTTACATGGAACCGGTCCTGTAGTGAGTTCAGTGCATAGGATTTTATCCAAACATTATCTGCGGTGTTCAGGCTTACGTTACTCATGTTTCTGATCTGGATGTGTTTTTCGCATTTAAGATTTTTTAGGGAGGCTCATTAATTTCTTTACCTTAAATAGTTAAAAAGTGACATTCTAGATACTTGGCTTATAAATAGTGTCCAATTGTTTTGTATGCGGTTTATCAAAGTACAATTAGTTCTGTTTTTGTTACTTCACTTAGATGTGGATGTCAGTGGTTTCTGTTTTTTTTGTTTTGGGTTTGTGTGCTGCTTTTATTATGTTTTTTCTCATTTGTTGTCGTTGTTTTTGTTTGGGTTGCGAGGGTGTTGTTGGTATTATTTATTTATGTATTTCTTTATTAATTAATTTATTTATTTACTTACTTATTTATTTATTTATTTTATTCTAAGAAATACTGGGATTTAGAAGGTTGAATACCGGCGGTCGTTCATACTGCACGCATGATATACAAGCTGTCTTGGCTTTATACTGGTGGCAATGGACACTAGGTTTCAGCATGTTAAGGACAATAGTTATGTAAATTGTCTCTCATTCATCGAACACTCTCATTGTTTCGATAGTAGTCCTGTAGGTTTTAATAGGAAGTTATTTCATGTAAAGAAAAAAATTGATCAACTTCAACAAATACATTTTAATCATTTATTAAAGAGCATGATAAATAAAATCAATCATATATTTCGTCCAGAAAATTGTGTTTGCTCTTTGAGTGAAGTAGCCATCTTTGCACTTTAAAAAGGTGTACTGCAAAATAACAAACAAAAAGCTACCCATGCATAAAACACTTGGTCAGTATAATGAACAATACCGGGACAAAAATGAAATTTAAGAACGAATTGCTATATTTATTAAACATCAAAATAGATTTAAAAATCCTTTTCTGAAAAATTTCAAAATACTACATATATATTGTTTACGGGAAAAAGGTAAATTATATGCGGAACGATAGTAAAATCTTTTACGGAACAGTAGGAAATACATACTTAAATGAAATGATATACTGTATTCCTAAAGATTTGATATAAGAAATATGTATTCTTTGTACCACAGTGACTTAATATTCGCGAAATTTGCGGTCACTAAGATTGCGCGAAAGTTTTTCTCCAAAAAAAACGTCCTTATCGTAAACGCGAAATATTGTTTCCGCGAAAGTTTCTAGGGATACAGTATCAATTAAGGAAAAATGAGATATACCTTTCTGGCTTACAACACCAGCATTCCTCACATTTTGGGTAGTAATAATTATCCCCTTGTGTAAACGTATAACCTAGGACACCTTCACAATATTTTCTTTCATCATCTGGTGTACGACTTGGTCCCATAGCTTTGTTGTCTTCTTCAGTCCAGGTGTGACATACTAAATCTGTAATGTAGTGATTATTCCGGAAAAAATTAAAGAAATGCACAGCAAAGTCAAATTAAAGACTTTGCATTTCAGTAAAAAAAAATATATATATAATGGACTAAAAGAGAAGTAACATCACTGGCAACTCAAAAAATATTACTTAAAAAATAGAAGAAAGATCAACAAGACAAATTCAATGTTCACAAGACGCAGGCACCGACATACCCCAGCAACAAAAGCAGTGCACCCGGACGGCACCAAACCAGGACCGGGAGTGGAAAAAATGGCGGCAGAAGAAGGAGAGGGATATGCAATAATTAAAACAATAAGAAACAAAAAAGGCCTAAATGGGAATTAAAGGCGCATGGGAAGCAAGCGGCAAGAAAAATGGGGTAGGGAAAAAGGGGAGAAATAAAAAAACATACCGTTGACGAAAAAAATAACAAACCCTTCAATTCTTCACATAGATCATTTGGTTGTTTGAAATTTAAAGAAATGAATGTAGTTTAGTCAGTCAAATATCACTTAAAAAACCACTTACGTAAAAAAGCTATTCTTAATCAATATACCTTTTGGTTTACAACACCAGCATTCCCCACATCCTGGATACTCTTCATTCTTTCCTTGTGTAAACGTATAACCTAAAACATCTTCGCAGTATTGACTTTCTTCCTCTGGTGTACGACTTGGTCCCATCGCGTTGTTGTCTTCTTCAGTCCAGTGGTGACATACTAAATCTGCAATTTATTTACTCGGAAATAATTAAGAAATGCAAGACTTCGCATATCTGAAAAATATAATGGACAATAAGAGAAAGAACATATCTGATTAGTACAAAAAATATTACTTAAACCCTTCAATTCCTCAGATAAATAAATAAAAAAATTATTAAGTGAGCCATATAAAACTAAATAAATACATAAATCTGAAAAGACATTTTAAGTTAATATACCTAATGGTTTACAACACCAACATTCCCCACATCCTGGATACTCTTCATTTTTTCCTTGTGTAAATATATAACCCAAGACACCTTCACAATATTGTCTTTCATCCTCTGGTGTACGACTTGGTCCCATCACGTTGTTGTCTTCTTCAGTCCAACGGTGACATGTTAGTTCTGCAAAGTGGTGATTATTCCAGAAAATTTAAAACAAATTACAAGTTAATTGAGAATTACAGTTTTTGCATGTCTGAGAAAGATTATAAGAGACAGTAAGAAAAAAATTTCTTACAGCTCAATATTATAGCGTTTAAAGCGTTTCATTCATCTGAATTAATTATTATGTTAATTATGATAATTACCAGCCATAGAGGAATCCACCAACAAAACGGCTAGGGTAATACTGAGTAAAACCAGGCTCATCATTATGCGATATCTGACCTATAAATTAATAAAATAAATTACAATCATCACATTGTAGAAGAGATTGGTAAACGTGTATTTCAGAGGCATGACTATTTAGTGGGGTAAAATAAATACATTTCTGAATTAATTTACTTACTTCATTTGAAATGTCAATGTGTTTAAATTGCGTTTTAAAAATAGCTTTAGAGTATTTATGATAGATGTTAAAAAACTGAAGAAAGTAGCGCTGAATCTGCATTATTGTGTCTTTTTTAATATAGCAAAGTAATATAATTACTTTCATGTCAAATACTAAATCACTATAATTTTACAAATTTCCAGATAGCATAAGAAGGAACAGATGGTTCATCTTTATCGCAAAATAGTACATTTTTGGAAACTGTAACAAGATATCCAGATGAACAGTTTTTGAAACGTAACAAAAACATTCATTTCGGGACTTTATAGGCCTTTTACTTGAGTACATGTACTAATACCATTAATGTCATCATAGGAACTTGAAATATTATCAATAATACCAGTGAAGTCCGATTTTCATTGAAATACCCCATCCTAGCTATATGGTTAAATATATATTAAGGAATGGGGAATTTTATGGACAAACGTGCTTTCATAGACCTGGTCGGTTTTAAATATCTAAATTCAGTGGCGTATCTACTAATATACTAATACGCACGGGCATATGAAAAAAAACAGTGAAAAAAAAAAAATCAAAAAAAGAAAAAAAAAAAAAACTAAAACAAATATTTGGACGTAGGTCGATAAACAGTTGAATAGCTGCTAATTGATTCTATAGGAATGCTTAGGAAATATGTGTGTTAATTAATTTGATAATATGTATACACAATCAATCAAAATCTATGAAAGAAGGGAGTAAGCAAATTTGATCAAATTAATTACATGAACATTGCTTGGGTATATCAACGGGAAGCCATTTTTCTTTCAGCTAATTCCGATACTCAATGTTATAATATTCATAAACCTCGTTAAAAAACAAATAATAATAATGGAAATGTCCTAAAATCTGAATTATTATTTAGTAATATGTACAATATTTTTACGAATGTCTCAACTAACTTCTTAGCAAACTTTACGTACTTAGATCATTTCAGTTCTATAATTATCATCATTATTCTTTTAATTGATTAGCATTTTGCAATAAATGCAGTTATACTGATTTAGTATTTTGTATATCAAAATACAATTGTGTTTACGTTTTGCTACTTTTATCTCAAATCAACATTTTGAAACACATATTTGCCCCTTTTTTAAAGATTTATATTAATTTCTTCAACTGTGTTTAGCTGGTCGTTGGATATCACAATATAAACTTCAACTCAATCCTTCTTTAAATCAAAACAAGATTCATTCAAATCTTCTAAAATCACACCAATGAAGTTTCTAATTTTTTTAATAGTTTACGCTGAACGTTTAACAAAATTCCACTGATTAACATTGAATTAACTACACAATTTCGAAAAAGAAGTAAATTCAGTTTAATAGCGTTTTGTCGAAACAAATTTTAAAACATGAAATATACAATAAATAAAAACATAATTGTACATACCTTGTTACTTTGTATCTTTCGCTAGAATTTGGAAATATTTCCTAAAATGTTGATTTTGTATTAACACTTCCAGCTATTTATAGGGAATCAAACATTATCAGCATATGTAATCGCAGCTTTCATAAGGCTTTTATCTTCATTATGTTTCAAGAAACAAAGGGACAGTGAAACAACAGTTTGTAAAGAATGATTGTTATCACTTTCATTATCACCATATTAAATCAAAGTTACAACATTAATGTTCTATAATGAATACGTTTCCTACGACCGCTATATAGGTATACATATATACAAATGTTCAAAACGCAAAACGAATTTGCAATTTCCTCTTCCGGAATAATTAATAACATGTACAAGTTATTCTAGTCAAGCTTTAGCTTCTGACATGTTCATGTGTATATGTTTTGGATTTATTTGTTGTTGTTCTTGTTGTGTTGTTATGGTTTTTAGGAGGTGGGTTTTTTTGTTTCTTGGTGTTTTTTTTTAGGTATTTAGGTCTGTTTGTGTCTGTTTGTGTATTATTACGCCGATTTTAACACAATTTCTTAACATATCAACCTAAGCAGCTTTTTTTATAACTAGCTAGAAACTACTTATTACTCCTCAAGCGACTGACTACTTGTCCAACAAGAATTTAAACCAGTGACCATATGACTCAATGTCCTAGATCAATTGTCAAAGAGAAATTACTCTTCGACCGAGGATAAAAGCAGTGCAACCCGCATTACTTATTAATCTGATTCTCTCTCTATTGAGCTAAATGGTCATACAAAATATGTACGTAAACCAAGAATGCTTTTCCATTGTCGTATATCAAAACGAGAAACACTTGCAGATACCTTTCAAGTGTGTATGATTCGTGATATTTATCTATCAGATTTGTTCCCAAAACTGACAAGATGAAAATCTAAGTCGTGTGATTATTCTTTGTAATGTAAGGTAACATTTGATAGAACAATACTTATTGGACATAAATGATTCTAGATATCATTATTTGCATTCCTTTCTATTTGTTATCCCTTAGCAATTAACGATTTTGTACGGAGATAATTAATTTGATGTTTCTATAGCGCGGCCTAGGTAGACTGTTCAATACACGTAGCGCCGCCTTTCTGAACTGAATGTCTGTTTCAAAATTGAACATAAAAATATGTCTATAAAGGATTAATTTATTTGTGTAACACTCGCCTAACGGCGTTATTCAAAACAATTTCACAAACTGGCTGGATTGACAAACAGGCTAGATATTTAAACGTTGAAAATCATTGTACATGACATGAATATTGTACGTAATCAGAATGAAGTGGTCAGGAACAAAATATTCTGCTGACATTTTAGTAGGTTTAACGATGTTTTGACAGATGCCCACCTGGCTGTCACAATAAAATAAACTGATAAATTTCATTCATTCTAGGAATTCTGCAATCATTTTTTAATCACAGAATAAACACTATTTGTATTCATTTCTTTTCTATTTTTTTATTAATTCTGTTTTCATGTGCTATTTTTTCATGTTTTATTTATTTTTTTTATATTTTTTTTTATATTTTCGTCTGTAAATAATTGATCGTAATTATGATACAGTATGTTATTGAATGTCGTCCTTTCTTAAACACCATCAACAGTTGATTATTTTCCCGGTATACTTTTGTGTGCCCCTCTAAGATGGTGCAATATGATTTGCCCTTGTCCGTCCGTCCGTGCATTCTCATGTTGTGTCGCATGTAATTCTAAAAGTACTTGACCTAGAATCAACAAAATTTACAGGAATGTTAATCAATATTCGGACACATTTCTAGTTTAACTTAGCCATCATTTTGCTATTTCGTTTGCTATTTCGTTTCAAGAGATTTTTTTTATTTATTTCTTTATTTTGTTACATAAACTTAATGTCGTCCTAAACTTTTATTATAACATTATATGGATTTAATGTTATCCAAACCTATTATTATTAACTTACACGTCATCGTAGCGTATCTTTATTTCTGAATAATGCCTATCCACGAGTTAATACAGAACATGAGATACATGTAGATATCAGCATATATCTTTATGATATTTGTTTCAAATGAACGGAATGTGTAACATGTGCAATTTGTTTTGAAATTATGTTCTGTTATTCATTGTTCATGTCCCATGCTCTTTGAATGATCAGTTTTATAAATCTGTTATGCTCTTCAATATTGGCGGAATATTGGATGTGCATTACTGTGTCTTAAATAAAGTAATATTTTGACTTTCATGTAAAATATTAAATCACTATAATAATTTTAATGTCCAGAGAGCAAAAGAAGCAAAACATTGTTCATCTATATGGTCAAAAAGTAAATGTTTGGGAACTGTACATGCTGTATCAAGATATCCAGATGAAAAGTTTTTGAAACGTAGCAAAAACATTAATTTCGGGACAGTATGGGCCTTTAACTTGAGTACTTATAGCATTACTGTCATCATTTGAAATATTGTCAATATTTACAGTGAAGGCTGATTTTCATTAAAGTACCCCATCCCTTTATAGTTTAATATGTATTTAAGGATTGGGAATCTAATGGAAAATTGGTCATCAAAAACCGTGCTTCCATAGACCTGATCGGTTTTAAATTTTTAAATTCAGTGGTGTACCAATAAAACGCTAATACGCACGGGCATATTAAAAAAAAACAGTGAAATAAAATTTCAAAAATAAAATGTGAAATCAAGAATTTGGACGTAGGTCGATAAAAATTTGTGAAGATGCTTATTGATTCTATAGGCATGCTTAACATGTTATCTCATTTATATATGTGTTACCTATTTTGATAATGTGTATGCACAATCAATCAAAGGTTATGAAAGTAAGCAAATATGCAATCTTCTAAGCAGTGATCTCCCCTTATCAGTACAGATATCTTTGTCATCACAAACATTTTTATCAATATTTATCAATATTAGATATTTTTTACCTGCTGAACTTATTTTTCATTTGTACTTATGGTACATTTTTGTTAAACCATACCAAATTTAGGTACGCAAGGTTAAAAATAAAACAGAAAGAGAAAAATGACGTTAGATTTTCTATTTAACGCTCGATATTTACATTTGAATTTAGACGTTACGTCATGTGACTTTTTTCATCATTGACGTCTGTGAAGGCAGTGATTATATTTCTGCCAAGGAAGGTAATCACTGTGAGGAGTTTGGCAAATATGATCAAATTAATAACGTGTAAATTGCTTGGTTTTATCAACTGGGAAACCTTTTTTCAGACTGAGATTGAGACTGCTACCGGATATACAATGTTTTAATTCTAATAAACCTTGTTTTAATCCAAAGAAAATGATAAAGAAAGCAGTATCAGCATATGTAATCGCGGCTTTCATCAGCTTTTATCTTCTTTCTTTTTCAAAAAACAAAGGGAAATTAAAACAAAGGTTTGTAAAGAAAGAATGTTATCACTTTACTTTCATTATCACCATATTAAATCAAAGTTATACCATTAATTTTCTATAATGCGTACGATTTCTACGACTACTTTTTTTTTTTACTTGTGGACCTATGCCGCTTTTCATGGATTTTCACTCACGGGACACATTAAATTCCATATGGTGATTAACATTATTTTCAAATTTTAGGCTTTATAAAGGGATGGGTTGTTTGCTTCTTGTTTCAGATGAGGTTTTCTTGTTGTTGTATTTTGTGTTGGCTTGGAGAAATAACTCTTCAACTGTGAGGATACATACAGCGTGCCCTGCATTACTAACAAAAAATCTGATTTTCTCCCAATGGATCATATAAAATATTTACGCATACTAAGAGTGAATTTTCCATTGTAATATATCAAAACGAGAAACATCTTGCAGATACCTTTCAAGTGTGTATGGCATATGATATTTATGGCACAGGTTTTATATATTGTATGAAGATTTTTTAGATTGTTGTATATAATTATATAAAAGTGCTTTGGACGGTGGAACGTACAGGTTTTCGGTACCTTTTGTGTATGTATCGAACATGTTATGAATCACATCATATCAGATTTGTCTCCAAAACTGACAACTTAAAAATCTCAGTCGTGTATATACTCTTTGTTATGTAAGGTAACATATGATATAACAATACTCATTGGATTTTAATGATTGTAGATATCATTATTTGCGTTCCTTTCTATTTGTTATGCCTTAGATAATGTTCGGAGATAATTCATTTGATGTTACCAGTAGACTGTTCAATACACGTGGCGTCGACTTACTGAACTGAATATGCATGTTTCCAAAAAAATAATAATAAAATAAAATAACAAAAAACATATACAAAAGAACATGTCAGTAGTTAAAGCTTCAACAGAATAACTTGTACATATTATTTGTCATTTTTGGAAGATGTAACATATGAAGGAATTGGTAAAATTTCGAGTTTTGGATGTTCGCAGATGTGTTCATATGGCGGTCATCATGGATCCTTCAATGTATCTCGTTAGTTCCATTCCATTAAAAGAGGCATATCGTCTCCAAGTAAAACAAAACAATAATCGTAGAATCATTAGTCGTAATCATGATTGAACATTTATGTTATAATTATTTGATCTTTGTTGCTCTTTTAACTGTTCACGTCATGCATTATGTTTGTGAACACATTGGTCCTTGGGAGTGATTTGAAGAGATGAAAATTGATTTTCACCTTATTTAGTGCTGTTCTTTACATCAATCGTGACTGCATACACATTTCATCTTTTATGTAAAACTCCGATTAAATGCAAATATTACATTACAAGTGTCATTATGAACATGTGTTCATACACGCCTGTTTTGATTCAATATGGTGACAACAGAAAGTGATAACTTTCATTCTTTACAAACTTTTGTTTTACTTTTCCACTGTTACTTGAAACAGAAAGAAGATAAAAGCTGATGAAAGCCGCAATTACATATGCTGATAATGTTTGATTCCCTATAAATGCTGGATGTGTTAAAACAAAATCAACATTTTAGGAAACACTTCCTAAATCTAGCAGAAGAAGCAAAGTAATAAGGTATGTACAGTTATGTATTTATTTATTCATTGTTTGTGTATTTCATGTTTTAAAATTTGTTTTCTTCAAGT